TATATATATATATATATATATAATGTTGAAACAAATTGATTCAAAAATATTGAAATATTAATCATTTGTTTAATTTTATAGATTAAATTAAATACTAAGAAACTACATTTATAAAAATCTATTCGTTGATTACTAAGATTGGATATTAATTATAAGAGGGACTTCCGTTTCTACCTATTTGCTAAGTGATTCAGGCATTTGAATAAGTGATTCCTGAATTGTTTTGACATAAAATATGGACACAATCTAGAAAATTGTCCCCATTGCATACGTATTCTTACAATTAACATTAATTTAAATTATCATTTTGCTTTTTTGAGATAGCCAAGAAGAAATATATCTACATTTACAACATTCCATTCCGAGATTTTCACATCTATACATATATAATTAATCATTTCTATAATTAAAACTTTATAACTATGATTTATGATGGCAAAAACTTTTCCAACATATAATTATGTTATTCAATTTATTAATCTCTAATTCAAAGGCATTGTATATGATGATACACGACTATTGTATTTATAAAATGTTAAGAAAGTATTTAAGCCTGATATAAAAAAATCTTATAAAAATTATCAAAATAAATAATTATTTATTATATTTTTTTACTTTGATAATATCTGGATATCTATACCCTTGAAATAAAAATTTTTTTACAAAATAAATTCATTTTGAAATTAAAAAACAACATTTTTGATTATTAATTTGTTTCTAAATCGCAAGAAGATTTTTATTTCCGATCGCTTAAAAGTAAAAAATTATTGATGTCTCGATATTTTTATCACAAGAGAATTTTATCTCATATTTAAAGAATAAATTCGCTGCAAACACATTTCATATTTTAGTTACAAATTGCTCTGCATCTAAAAGATTGTATATCGAGCGTTTAAGATATATTTGCGAAACTAGAAACACACTCATTTTTCAACAAATCGTGAGGTTTTTCTATCGATGTATTCATCGTCCCTCGATGTTTACTTGCATGTTCATTCATCATCAACTACTGAATCTTATCTTCGATGATTTATCGCGGAGCATATTTTTCTCGCCATCCCTTCGCGTCGCGTTAATACCGCTTCGTTAACGTTAATAAATCTTATCCCTTATGGAATAGACGAGGAACGGTGCCATAAGACGTATGTTCGAGTAAAATTTGCACGATCACTGCGTGACAGATTTTTAAATTTAGAAGTTAAGTTATTAAGTTTATTAATAATGCCATATATATATATATA